CCAAAAAAATTTGTACACTATTATATCAAATACAATCTGTACAATATAATTGATAAAATGTCTCTTTCAAGTTCAATCTTTCGAATCATGCACGGTCGGAGAGCATAAAAGAAAACCTGAAAGGTTAAGAATAAAAACTTTCCCATGTAACTGGATAGAAGTTTGGCTTCCAACAAGGTAGGTACATCCGCATCAACAAGTTCCCAACCAAGATAGCGATGATGCTCCGCGTGATAACTCTTGAACATCATTGCATAAGGTATAGGTACAATAAGGTTAAGAAAAATGGCATAATAGTCGTTATATTCGCGCGTCTTAAATGCAAGATTGTGAGTTGCCTCATGGATAGCCAAAAACGTGCTATGGGATATTGTTCCTCCCACAAAATAAGCCAAAAATAAGTACATTGGCCAGCTCATTTCGCTCGCTCGTATACCAAGATAAAGCTGAAGAAAAATAAATGGCGTCATAAGCCTCCAGATCCAAGGATCAGGTCCGTAAAGCTCCTTGATCTGCCTCCCATACTTCTTCAACATTAATTTCCGACGCATTTCATGGGGTTGTGGGTTCTTGCTCCAATAGTAGTCCCCTCTCCCCTGAGGTTCAAAAAGCTGTTCAAAGAATGCATTGCTACTCTTCGCCATTTGCAGCCTTACACGTATGTTAAGGGGGAAAAAGCACAAAAAACTAAAAAATCAAAAGCAAAATTCCAGAAAATAAAATTAAACTAAAAAGATTCATCCACAATATGAACAGCAGTATACAAGGTGAGGAGAACTCCAAATGGTGTTATTGAGCCCCATGCACTCAAAAACCAAAGAAATGTCCAAAAACAAGAATAGGAATAACCACAGAAAGAAGAAAAAAAAAAAAGTAGAGTCTTTCCAACGGATAAGTTTTAAAATCAAATAAAAAGGATAAAAAACTGATAGAAAAACCCACAAGCGACTCAAAATTCAGAACCACTGTGGTATCAAAAACGCAATATCCTAAAGCAAAAATGACTCGCAAATCAGCAAGCTCCCAAGACGCACACAAAAAGCTTATACGCCCGCAAATGCGACCCCACCAATCCCCAAAACGCGCCATACAAAAAACGGGATAATTGCACCATTTGGGCCCCAACAAGAAAAAAAAACCTCGGGACGCCACCAAAAACGCAATCAACGCCAAAATTCCAAGCGGCCCAGCCAACCAACCACCGCGGAGAACGGACACAAGCGTAACGCAGTAGCGCCGCCACCCCTCAAACAGGTTCTCTTCAAAACAGACCGGACACCACACCTCCGGTGGATTTAGACGGTCGACCCGACTGCACCGCTGCAACACATTCCTTGCGGATACATGATTGTGCGTGGGGCACACACTCTCCAGTATGCATGCTGGCGATCTGCTCCGACGAATTCCAGGTCTCCCGGATGGCTATCATGTCTGCTCCCTGCGCCATTAATGTTGCGAGTTTGGCCGGCGTCAGTGAGGGAACGGTCATCTGGAGTGCTGCTATGGGGCTCGGGCTCCGCTCAACGTCTCCGCCTCGCAGTCGCTCTTGCCTCTGTGCGTCACTTACGGCACGCAGACGACACGTGTAGCGCTGGTAATCGCCGACGAAATCCGGCAGCAGTGAAACCCGCGACGCGGTGTTGCCCCGGGTAGCGCTGGGCCAGAACCGTGATCTTATTGTAGCGAGCGCCTATGTGAGACCACCGCCGCAACCGACACAATCCTTAGGCGGTTGCTGAGCTGCCTCTCGGTCTCGTCGCCGCTCATTCCGTGTGGAGATTTCAACGTGCGTCGCCCACGGTGGGAGCCCTTCCTGGAGACCCCTCCAAGCAACTCCGCTGTAGAATTTTATACAACCGCGCACGGATGCAGGACACACCTTGGTTAACACCCCTGGTGAAACAAAGCATGCTCGTGGTGCAAGAGAGAGATCCTGTATCGACCGGACATGGTCAAGGCATCCTACCGTGTCCAACTGGACAGCCAACGTGCCGCCGCTCAGTGACCACTATGTGTTGACATTCACGCCGCATCAGGCACTTAAGGATACCATGCCCTCGGCACCCACTTCGGTACGTCGAGTTTTCTACAGCTGGTGGAAGTCCAAGTGGGAGTCCTTCGCCAACGACCTCGACGCACAACTTCCAGCATGCGACCACAAAAAGCAATCAACCGGCATTAAAGCTTTTACGAGAGCACTTGCAGTTTCACTTCGACGGCATTGACCCCGCGGCATGCACAAGGATGATCCCAAGCTCCGGGGCGACACCCTTGCGAAGGCAGAGCGGATTGCTACCGACAGCAAGACCCGCTGTCTGCAGTTACCGACGCCCGACCGTGAAACAGAGACGCAACGGGCAAGGAGCCAATTCTTCCTCCTACTCCGTGAGCGCTCGCGCAGCAAATATCGGCGTCGCATCAGCAAGTTAAACCCAGGCAAACCACTCGCCTAAAAAATACATTCCGGACGTAAAAAGACATCAATTCCGTCTCCCACAACGGCGTTGATGTACGATGGCCGCAGGAATAATTTCAGGACAGCAAGGAGAGCAGCGGATGCGCTCAATCTTGGATTCCTCCCCACCTCGCAAGGCGATTGGGTTTTCCAACGGGAAAAAACGGAGAAAACAAGTCCTTGTGTATTTCTTCTCCCTCCCCTTCTTAGGCCGCAGAACAACAACGAGTCGGCCGCCTCATCTTCGATAGGTTCCTTCTCTCCCCTCTCTCTGGATGCCTCTTTTAATCGTACGGAACCGCGTGCAGCGCTGCGCAGCACACCGTACGGCAAGGCCCCGGACCGGACGAAGTCCACAGCGGGGCGCTACCACATCTTTCGACGAAGTGTCTCCGATTCCCTCTCCGCCGCATCAACCACAGCCGGACAGCCGGCACGATTCCGGTCCAGTGGCGACGAGCCACCATCGTCCCAGTCCTGAAACCCGGTAATTCGCCGGCGCTAACGGAGTCATATCGACCCATCAGCCTTCCCTCCATCGTGGGTAAGGTTGCTGAGAAAATGGCATTGAGGAGACTGCTTTGGCTGTGGACGCCTCGTCCGCACCAGCATGCGTGCCGTAGTATGCGTACCACGACGATGCAGCTGGCACATCTGATACACGAAGTGGAGCATAACAGAACCGACTACTTCCAAGCGAACCTTCCCAGGAAGAGCGGTGCTGGAAGCCAGCTCCACTGCAGACCCCATCGGGCTCCGTTGGTGCTGGTAGACTCCAGCAAGGCCTTTGAGTTCATTGCTTATCGAGTCCTCAGTCGCTTGCCGGCCAATATTCCGGGGGTGAACTGCCGAAGGTGGCTTGGAAAATTTCTGCGTGGTCGCTACGCGAAGACACGAGTTGGCAACAGACACGGCGATCGGTCTTCCACGCTGCGAGGAGTTCCTCAGGGGTCCGTATTGGGAACACATTTTTCTTCTCCCTTTACGCACACCCACTTCTCAATCTGCTGAACGGCTTCTCAGGCGTCACAGCAGACATGCACGCGGATGATCTCTCCATTGTAATCAACGGCCACTCTCGGGAAGACACCATTCCTGCAGCCAACACGGTCCTCAAAAAACTGCACGCGCGGGGCCAGTAAAGTGGTCTGGCCATCATCCCGTCAAAGTGCAAAGCCGCTTGGTTCACACTCTCCACGCACACGGAGTCAAACTATGATCGCAAAGGAAAGTGGTCCCTGGAAGTGACTGGATGTAAAATTCCAGTCATGACCATGGGGGCGTCGCGAACTGCGAAGCTTCTTGGCATGGATCTCGATCCGCAACTGACGCTAAATTTGGCGGCCGCCTCGCAACGGATATCGCAGCCACGCCGCATTGCGCACAAAGAGGCGGGGCCATCTCCACATGACCCACGCACGTTCATCATCGGATACGGCGCATCCAAATTACGCTACGGCAGCGAGCTCATATGGGCAGTAGCGACGGATTCAGCGAAGAATGAGACGCAAGAGACGTACGCAGGTCTGGCACGCATTGTCAGCGGAGTTCCGAGCACTGTCGACCAGTAATCCGCACTCCTAGAAGCAAATATACCGCCGCTCCATGTCGTCCGCCTGCACGCGGCTCTCCATGTTTGATAACACACGCAATTGTCAGATGGACTGGGAGCGGAGATCAACGTCTGAGCCTTCGCCTCGCGCTGGTTTCCGCATCCCGCCGTTGTCTCGGCACGAGCCATATGCCTTTGTAGACGCATACACAAAGGGCTACGGCATCACCGAGGACTCACCACGCGAAGAGCGGTTCTTTCGTGGCTCCATTCCTCCCTGGTCTGCGGCCTCCGCTCACCGGGTCACCATCGGTGTGGAACTTCCGATAGACCACTCAATCACCGACGACGAAGAACTGATAAGGGAAATGCGCAGAGTCAGCGAAGAGGCTCTAGCGCTGCACAGCCACCGCTCGTGGATACTCGCAACGGATGGCGATTTCGACGTTCCCACGCCAGCCTGCGTTGGCATACCGCCTTCATCCCTGCATTCCTCGCAGATAATAGGGAAAGTAAGTAACAACTGCGGCACACGCCCTTGAAGCTGCAGGACGGAATCCAGTGCGCTGCTCTTGGCCCTGCAAAGGCTGATTATCCCTCGGATCCACCACAGAAGTAAAAACCCCGCTTGTGGCGACACAAAGCCAGGCTCTCCTAGCGGCCCTCAACAAGGACCGGATCCGGCAGCGTCTCTTGACACTGATGCGTGCCGGCCGGTCCGTGCACCTGCAGTTTTGTTGCGGACATTGTGGAGTGCATGTTAACGAGCCTGCGGCTCAGTATGCGACGCAGACTATGGAAAGCGGACAATACACGGAGCATGGAATCGCACCTTTATGGCATACGGATCTGCTGACATGTTTTACCACCCAGCTCACCAACAAGTGGCGTAG